CCTCACATTCCTCCTTCTGATTACCATTTGCTCAGATCTACGCAACACTTTCTCAGTGATAACACTTTCAGAAATATTGATGGCATCAAAATTGATCTTGTAGAATTCTTTGTCTCAAAGAAAGCTTCCTTCTATCAACGAGAAATTGAAAGATGACACATTTTCATTAATAATAATTGATACTATGAAACGGATTGAAAATAAATTCTTACCTTTAAAAACATCTTTACTTTATAAGGAAAACGAACGACATTACTTTTCGGTACCCTAATATCTACAACAGTGACCAGTTTACCAAGATGGTGCTCCTATTCGTTCAGCACGAGCCACAAAACGATGGTGTGAAGGTCAGGGCAATACAAATCTCCTTCGCCAAGTTAATGGCCAGATATGAATCCCATCAAACATGTGCGTTCCCTTCTTAGCAGTTCCATTAGACAGCATTCCAAACAACCAACAGGTCCAGAGTCCAGGTCTTTTAAATGCGACCAGTAACTGTACTTCTAGTTTAGATATTGCAAAGGGCAGACCCACTAAATTCTATTAGTAATCATGTACTTTTTGCTTCATGTTTGTTAGTTAAAATATTCGGCATTATTTATAAAGTGTGCCTATTTATTTATTGGTAGGCTGGGTATATTAGAGGCTACTAACAATTATAGTTAAAGAAGGCTTAATGTGAATATATAAGTACTTAATTTTATTTACAAAACAAAAAAATTACCGCCCATATTTTTATTCGTTAGTAACGTTATTATTTTATCTTGCAAACCTTATAAGGTAATATTTGAAATAAAGTTAATATCGTATTAACATGAACAATAAAAGTAAGTTTACTTTGCGTACATAATTTATTAACATTAATAATAAAAGTAAGCTTACTTTGCGTACATAATTTATTAACATTAACAATAAGAGTAAGCTTACTTTGCGTACATAATTTATTAAAATTAACAATAGAAGTAAGCTTACTTTGCGTACATAATTTATTAACATTAACAATAAGAGTAAGCTTACTTTGCGTACATAAGTTATTAACAATAAGAGTAAGCTTACTTTGCATACATAGTTTATTAACAATAAGTTTAAGCCTACTTTGCATACATAATTTATTAACAATAAGAGTAAGCTTACTTTGCATACATAGTTTATTAACAATAAGTCTAAGCTTACTTTGCATACATAATTTATTAACAATAAGAGTAAGCTTATTTTGCATAGATAATTTATTAACAATAAGAGTAAGCTTATTTTGCATAGATAATTTATTAACAATAAGAGTAAGCTTACTTTGCATACATAGTTTATTAACAATAAGAGTAAGCTTACTTTGCATACATAGTTTATTAACAATAAGAGTAAGCTTACTTTACATACATAATTTATTAACATTAACAATAAAAGTAAGTTAACTGGCCATACCTTTAGCTCATTAATGTTCTTAATAAAATTATAATTACTTCCGTGCTTTAAGGTTCCGCATCAGAAAAGCGCGAAGAATATAACGAAAGTTCGTAACTTGACCACACCCCGTTTGATAGGCCTTCCTGGCTTTGTTTTGAGAGTACAGGAGCCGTAGTGGGCAGTGGATGAGAAAGGTGCAAAAAACAAAACAAAACCATCTTCAACACCAACTGTCAAAGACTTTTATCTCTTTCATACTTCTTTATAACAAGCTGCCAACTTTGAATTTATCTGTAGACGAAAGGAAAGCTCGAAAAATCTAATAATACCTTAACGGACTATTACTAGAAACTTTAGTAGGTAAGCGGTCAAAAATTACAGACTTACAATGTACAGATAATAGTAGGTGAGTACACAATACAGTTTAAATAATGTTAAAGATAATAGTAGGTGAGTACATTTACACTGTATTGTGTACTCACCTACTATTATCTTTAACATTATTTAAACTGTATTGTGTACTCACCTACTATTATCTTTAACATTATTTAAACTGTATTGTAATCTAAAGGATAATAGTAGGTGAGTACACAATACAGTGTAAATAATCTAAAAGATAATAGTAGGTGAGTACATAATACAGTGTAAATAACCTAAAAGGATAATAGTAGGTGAGTACACAATACAGTGTAAATAATGTAAAAGATGATAGTAGGCGAGTACACAATAAAGTGTAAATAATGTAAAATATGATAGTAGGTGAGTACAGAATACAGTGTAAATAATGTAAAATATGATAGTAGGTGAGTACACAATACCATGTAAATAATCTAAAAGATAAAGCAGGTGAGTACACAATACCGTGTAAATAATCTAAACGGTGGTTTAGATCCACTAAAGAGGAACATCACCAATTTTATATGGGTACAAGTAAGAAACATTAAACATGGCGGGCAAATCGTTTATTGCCTGTAACTATCGTAAATATGATGGCAACATCCCGATTCTCAGTCTATCCGCTATTACTGTTATTAGCGACAAGTACTTATCCTGTATGGGACAAAGGGTACCCCTACCTGCTATTAGTAGTAGCACACTAATGCTAGTAATAAATTTCCGTTACTAGCAGGATCGAGTGAGATAATACCATCTTTTTGTTTACCGTATTCTCGCTTCTCTTGTTGAACTGGTGTTTCGAGTTTCATGTGTGCTACAGTTTTTTCAAATATCAAAGGACAAATTTACTGTCACAGTCAGAAACAATAGTTCTCGGAACCTATGTAAATATCCTCAAGGGCCTACTTTTTTCCTTGTTATAAGGAATGACCTGTTTATTATCACAAAGAAAAAAAGGCAGACCTCAGACTCCTGAAAGTCTTTTCGGGAGCCTGAAGCTCTTCTTATAAGGAGCGACTATTTATTGTCACAGTGAGAAAAAGGCAGACCTCAGACTCTGTGAAAGTCTCATCAGGGGCCTACAGTTCTTCTTCTACGACTACTTAAGCGGAATATATCAACGTTAAATAATAAAGTAAAATAAATATAGAAAACCATTTTCTTCGATAACAGTTCTTATTCTTTAGGAAATTATCAGTTTTGTCGTTTTTAGTTTCAATACCAAGATTTTACTGGTCTAGGAAAAACAGTTTTTCGGCAACTCATCGCCGTATGAAGGGTAGTAATGACATAATTTGAATTTTTGGTTTACTCTTCAGTTTCAACCGTGACTTTGTCTTTTTAGAGCCGTGCTACTTGATTTCGGAAACGCCATGGATTATAACCAGATTTAGCTGTATAAGTTTACAAGATCCCACTAACCAATATATATATATATAGGCTTATAGACATCGCTAAAAACTATAGGCCTAGGAGTGCTCTAAGAAGAGTATTCTACTTTCATAACGTTACGGTCGTCTGTGCAGCTATTATCAAATGTTTGTTTATCTTGCAACGTGTTATCCTGGGTACATTCCTGTCTGTCTCTGCAGCAACCTGTCTAAGTCATGTTTACCTGTTACCGTGTAGATTCCTGTCTGTCTACATATCCACCTGTCTAACTCATGTCTATGTATTACCGTGTATATTCTTGTCTGTCTGCATATCCACCTGTCTAACTCATGTCTATGTATTACCGTGTATATTCTTGTCTGTCTCCATATCCACCTGTCTAACTCATGTCTATATATTACCGTGTATATTCTTGTCTGTCTGCATATCCACCAG